GTCCTTCTTTTTAATTGGACAACATATGTATGCTATTTTTGAATGCTTTAATATTTTGGTTATGTTTTTGGCACCATGATGTATCTTGATATTTTGGCTATGTTAATGTACCATTGATTATATTTTGGTTGATTTATTATCTTTCCAGTCTTTGGACTTTACTTAGCAAATCTATTTGTCTTGTTGACTGGGAGCTTATACTCATTTTTAGGGAATACTCTACCCAAATTTTTTTAATCCATATATTTTTTGATTGATGACAAAAATGGGGAGAATAATAAATGATTGAATAATAAAGGATTATTAACATAAGTTAATTTTTAAGATTTGGTTGAGAGGGAGTAATTTTTTTTGTATTCAAGGTTTATTTTATACATATACTGATGGGAAGCATATCTACTTATAAGTAATTTCAAATGTTTTGAAAATCATCCTTTATTTTGTTATCATGAAAAAGGGAGAGAATGTTAAAATTGATTCTTAATTTTGATGATAATTAAAACAAATTGATGATTTAGACTAATGATTTCTTGTAAGAAAGCATCCAAAACAGGTATCACAGAACATAAGGGTTCAGACATTTGCACCAAAGTATCAAACGTCCAATAGTCAATGAGAAAGTTTTGGACAAACACTATCGAACACTTCACAAGAATATAGGACGTCCAATAGTCAAAAAGATCTATCAGATAGTCATACTAGATGCAAACTTCGTGGATCGATCGTCTGATAAATTTCAAATGAACAACTTAATATTCTGATCTCTATCGGATGCAAGACTTGTCGGATGCAAAAATTCTATTGGCCATCTGATAAGAATTTAGAGCATACTACCGGATGCAAAACAGATGATTGGACATTTGATACTCCTAACAGCTAGTTTCTCTTACATTTAATACATGACCATTGGCAAAGAAAATGGACTTTTTGGACAACTATACATATCATTAAGCATGGGGTAGTTGCTAACTTGATTATACATTAAATACGACCTTCCAAGAGTGATTTTAATAAGAAATACACTGGGCTTATTTGACAAACAAGTTTTTTGCCAGATTTGTCTTGTGTAAGTTTTTTAACAACTTTATCTATAATAATCTAAAAAATCTGCTCAAAATTTTTAAATTATAATCTTCAAAATATCAAAAAATTTACACACTTCAAAAATTTTTCTTACAACTTCTACAATAAGGTACAATAAAATTTTAGATAAACATCCAAAAACTCATTTGCCAAACAAGGCCACTTTTATTATACTCCTTATTTAGTGAATATTGTGTATAGTTTTTCAATGGTGAGTGAACAAAACAAAGTGTAGATTTGTGAGAGTTAACTAAATTAGTTGTAAAACCTTTTGACTTGACCAAGGAGAGTGTGAGGTGAGTAAAAGGTGCACCTTCCGTTATACAATTTTGATTTTATTTCACCAAATTGAAGAAGGTTGCTACTGGAATTGGACTTCAAGTTGAGAGAAACTTGGAAGTCCTGTTGGTTTGCAATTTGCTTTCCCTCTCTTATCTTATTTCTATTAAGTTTGATTAAGTGCTTCTCTTTCTTTATTTTTTTTATTCTACTTGTTTTTGTACTCATCAAATTGATTGATCATCCAGATAATTTGGTAAATTTAAATTTGAAAATTTTTTTATAAACATGATTAGGATCATAATCAACTTAATTCACCTCCCTTTTAGGTTGCACTTGGGTTTTACTTACAGTAATTGGAAAAATTTATCAATTATTCTTAATTTGCTTCAAACTGGAAATATTGTATTTATCCCAAAATATTTACCCGAAACTCATCGAGCAAAGTCCCCACTAAGGGTGTAACGACCCCACCTTCCCCTAAGGCATATCCAAGGGTTTGGCGAGCTATCTGCTCAACTCTCGCCAAAACTCACTCACGCTATCACGAAATTTACAAAGTAACAATCTCAACAATATGGGCAATATCAATTACAACCCTAGATATATACAATCGTGGACATCAAATGTCCATACAATCTCTAAATACAGCCGAGGAATTAAACTTATAAAATAAAACCAAACAAACCCACTAGAGAGTTAAGGAGTGCCTATGCGAGCAACTAACAAAATTTAGACAAAGTCTATGTTTTCTCCAATTCTCACTCACGTTCTTACCCCTGTAAGGAAAACAAACTTATGGAATGAGTTAGAAGCATAGTGAAATTCCAAGAAAACATGCAAGTAAACTAACAGGCATGATATAATGTATAGCAAAGCAGGTAACCAGATAGATCATGCAATAATGTACAGTAAAGATCACATTCCTATCAAGGATATAGTCTGTTCTCAAAAACAGGTGCCACGGCAGCTTGTTCAGGGTCCATTGGCATTCCATCAACTATGAAATTATAATATCCATAGATCACTACTAAGCATTCATCTCCGCCCACCCCTACCGGGCTCGAACGCCAATCAATTACCCATGATTCGTCAATCTCCTCAATCATATCCTTTGCTAGCTCAATTCGACCGACTAACCATGGGATGGCCTTACAGCATCAAGTATTCAAGTATTCATGATCTGGACCCCAAGTATTCATTTGGGCCCCAAGTATTCAAGTATTCACGAGAGGAATCGTTGGTTGTGACCCAACGCTCACACCAGTAAAGATTGGAGACGTTAGCTGTCACCTAGCACTCCGTATTCAAGCATGTCATGAGTTCAAGTCATGAATTCAAGTCACGAGTAAACGGGTTAGGAATTTCATCATTTACCCAAGGTTGCCCAACTTACCCGGCCACTCTAAGGCTGGTCTCAAGCAAGAGGTCTAACGAGGGTTCAGTTCAGCCATTACCGACTTATATTTATGCTTACGCATGAGTAACCCAAGTTCTCACTTACCCGACGTCTCGGATAAGGGTCCAAGGGCTCAGTTCAATCGTTGCAAGAAAATATACAACCGGTCTACAATCATGCACAGGTACATGCAAGTTCGCATGCAAGATCAAGTATTTTAAGTCAAAATACAAGTTACTTGCAAATCAAATTTCTTGTACATGCATGAACAAGATATCAAAAGCTTAGTTGAATTAGGTCAAGTGTGATAAAGTACACACTCACCTAAGAAATGACAAATCAAGTGTCTAGCAATTTTAGCAACAAGTAGCAGAGAACATGCAGTTGCAACATTCATCGGATCAAAGCAGAGCAACGTTAAACATTCGTCTCCGAGTTATGCTCTTGTTCACCACCAAACCTTAAGAGCAACTAGGCCAAAAATATTATTGTCCAACTATCCAAAGCTTAGGTGGACCAGGTTCACATTTTAGACTCAACTACGAGTCATACACCTATCCAAGTTGGCCTTCTAAATTCACAAGGGTTCAAAGACAAATTTGAATGTGCAAATCAAGAAAAAATTCAAGTACATACTAGGGCAATGATTCAACTATGGTTTTGGAGTAAAAGGAAAGCATTTGGACCCAAGAAATATGAGCAATCAAAGAGTTCCACATTTCATTTCATTTTATTGCTAGAAATTTCCAACAACCACAAGATCCTCAAAACAAGAAGTCCAACCACAAAAGTCAAGATTTTCACGTTAAAAACTCACATGCTTACTAAAATTGAACTATTTTAAGAAATATGGAATCAAGATATGTCAATTTGCAGCCAAAGTTTTAGATGTAAAGTTGGAAATATCTCGCTTCTCTCCTACGAATTCCAACAAAAAAAAATTCCAACAAGCATCATTCTTTTGAAAAATCATAACTTGAGTTATAAATGTCAAAAAATCATACATCTTGCCCCATTAAAAACTAAACTCAAAGCACTAACAAACTTTAGAAGACACCTTAAAGAGATTCAATTCATAAATTGGTCCAAATTGAGACACAAGCAATTGCAACATTCCAGTTTTTCACTTGTGCAGGGCAGAATTTTCAGTCATATTAGTTTATTTTTTGGTGTGTATATAAAATGAATTGCAGCTCAAATTTTATACCATTAGAAAGCTTTCTTAGTCTAGTTTTAAATGCAACAAATGGAACTCAATTCCAACTTTTCTATACGAAGTTATAGTAAATTTTCCAAAACTGCACAGAGCTTCCTGCGAAATATCCAGATTGCTAATAATGGTGAGAAAATGCTACTTTCACTAACAAAACCTCACTCCCTTGACTCAAGTTCAGCACACACTTGTAGTATAAAAGTCTCATAGGGTGTTTTGAGTAAAATTGAACTTAAAATCATCATAAAAATTTGGAAGTCAAGGCTAAAAATCCAACCCCTGTTTTCGGCCAGCAGGCACATGGTTCCTCAATTGTTTTTCCAATCATTCCTTCAATCAATTTTCCAAGTTTAATCAAACCCACCAAGCAAATCCATAAGGTGTTATCACCTACATAACAAGAGACATCTATAGCTAAAATCTCAACAAGAAAACCACCATACTTGCATATAATATCCAAACGCTAAGAACTCAAACATTAAGTTCATGAATCATGACACTGACAGGCGCGTTATTCTGGAGCGTGCGCCTGCTGCTGATGCTCACCCCAACGGAGGCCTCTCAGAGGATGTAGGGCACCAGATCCCGTTCACTGATCGTGAACTCATGGCACGCAAAACGGTGCCTTTGGAACCTCCGCCTGTTGTGGAGGTAGGCGGGTTGGCGGACCCGTCGATTGCAGTGGGAAGCGGCAGCGAGGGTGGGGGAGAGGAACGCCTGCCAATCATAGGTGTTTCTGGTACGGAGGTGTTGCAGCCGGCGACTGGTTCACGGCCAACACCATTGGAGTTGGATGAATCGGATTCGGAGAGTGCAGAGAGGGTCCCGCTGACCAATTCTTTTGCTGCTCTCTCTGCCTTTTCTGATGACGGGATGGTGGAAGAGTCGCTGGCGTTGAGGAGCTGTCTGTCCTTGCCCCGTCGCAAGCAACAGCGCCAACAGTTGCACCGGAGCAAATCGTTAGAACGGGTGGGTTCCGTGGAGATGTCTTAGCAACAGCTGAAGGAGTTCCAGCACGAGCTCCACATGAAGCTCGGCACCCTGACTGCCTCGGATAGAGATGGCTCGGTTGCGGCCAAGGACGTGCACGGCAGTGTGGTGGTGGCCGCAATGGGGGAAGGTGAACGACGGCAACGAAAAAGAGGCAGGCCTCCGAAATCCTTGATGCCACGACCTAGCACTTCATCTCCAGCTAAGTATTTGTTACGTTCCTATGTTAAATTCAGTTAATATTGTTGTGTGGAATATTAGAGGGGCTTCCCGGCCCGATTCATTGCGTTATCTGCAGAGGTTGGGTCGTGAGAATGCTGTTCGTTTGTTAGTTTTGTTGGAGCCTATGTCAGATCCTGCCTAGTTAGATGTTGTTCGGCGGGCTTTTGATAATTCGTCTTCTTTCTTGAACAGGAAGATTTGGTTTTTTTGCTTCAATGAGATGCGCTTAAGTTTTACTGAATATGCTGAGCAGATGGTACATGCAACCATTGCCTTTTCCTCTGGCATGTCAGTGTCGTTCTCGGGGATCTATGCCAAGTGCACGAGAGTGGGGAGGCGGCCTTTATGGCAGAGCATGGAGAATGTTGGTATGGGTATGGATACCCCACGGTTGGTGGCAGGTGATTTTAATGTGGTGTCTTCTGCAGATGAGCGGGTAGGAGGATCTCCAGCCAATGTCACCAACATGGAAGAGTTTAATTCCTCCATGTTCAGTTGTGGCCTGTCCACAGTAGACTTTGATAGATCTCTGTTCACGTGGACGAATGGAACGGTTTGGCAAAGGCTGGATCATGTCATGGTTAATTCTCAGTGGTTAGATATATACCCAATTACTCGAGTATCCCATTTGGCACGGGGACGTTCGGATCATGCACCTTTGTTGATAAAATGTGGCCGGGGGTTGCTCGGACAGGTGGCTTTAGGTTCTTAAATGCTTGGAGAACTCACCCTCAATTTTTAGAGGTGATTAGAGAGGAATGGTTGTCGTCGGCGCCTGGGGTGGGTATGGCTACATTCCACCAGAAACTCATGTGGGTGCGTCGCCGGCTGAAGCTTTGGAGTAGGGAAACCTTTGGGAACATCTTTTCGAGAGTAAAGACTGCAGAGGGGGAGTATCACCTCCGTGAAGCGGAATTTGATTCTAGACGAGACACTGAGGCGAGGGCTCGATTGCATGAGGCTCGAGCTAGGTATTTGAGGGAGCTCTCCATCGAAGGTGCTTTTTGGAAGCAGAAGGCCGGGATCAAGTGGCTGGAAGAGGGCGATGCAAATACGAGATTCTTCCATGCGGTTGTCAAGTAGCGATGGAATCGGAATTTTATTGGCCGAGTCAAGGGGGAAGCTGGGGTGTGGGTGCAAAGCGTCTGCAGTTGAATTTTTTTCGAACCTCTTCTCTTCGGAAGGTCATCAGTGCCCTTTTGATTTGCCGTTTGCGCTCCCCTAGGCGGATGACTCGAACAACGCAATGCTGCGAGAGTTGCCCACTCTGGAGGAGGTTCGATGAGCGATTTTCGAGATGAGCGTGGATAGTGCCCCGGGTCCGGATGGGTTTGGCATGGGATTCTACCAATCATGCTGGGACATCATTAAAGTTGATTTGTTGGCTAGTATTCATGATTACTTCAAGGGAGTGGCGCAGCCCAGGGGCTGGTCTAGTTCTCTACTAGTGTTGTTACCAAAGGTGGATGGTGCATCTCAGTGGCAGCATTTCAGGCCAATTAGTCTATGCAATGTCTCGCCCAAGACCATTTCCAAGATCCTGACCAAGAGGTTGAATACGTTGTTGCCAGCATTGATTTCTCCTTGGCAGACGGGGTTTGTCCCTGGTAGAGAGATTTGCGATAACATTCTGCTTGCCCAAGAACTGGTTTTTGACCTAGACCGCCGACTCACTTGCCCCAATCTGATTCTTAAATTGGATATGGAGAAGGCATACGATCGGGTAGAATGGCCTTTTCTTCTTTTTATGCTCTGACGATTTGGCTTCAGCGAAGAAGTTGTTGATATGCTGTTTCGGACTTTTTCCAATTCCTGGTTCTCCATTTTAATCAATGGTGAGTCAGCGGGATATTTCAAGTCCTCCCGGGGGGTGCGCCAAGAGGACCCCTTGTCCCCGACCCTATTTCTTTTTGTGGCTGAGTTTCTGGGTAGGGGCCTCCATCACCCAGGTGCTTCTATATGTCGGCAGGATCCCGGGTCCCATATTTGTCATTTGCCGACGACATGATTATTTTCATGAGGAGCTCGGCTGAGCCATTATCTGCCATCCGTCATTTCTTGACCTCCTACCAAGCTATGTCAAGGCAGAAAGTGAATGTGAGCAAGAGCTCGTATATTTGCTCTTCTAGGGCGACGACGGATCAAGTCTCTATGAAGGGGCGTTGCCGCTCACTTACCTGGGTGCTCCATTAGTTCGGGTAGACACCAAAATTTTAGCTTTTATTTATTTAGGTGATTTTTGTTTTTTTTTGTTTATTTATTTTTTGTTTTTTTGTTTATTTTATCTTATTTTTATTGTTTGTTAAGAGAATTGCTTTATTATTATTTAATTCATTGAAAAAATAAAAAAAAATCAAAATCAAAGGGACAAGAACAAGACACATAAGCCTATTTTGGGGTTTGAAATCTTAGCCTTTCATCTTAGGTTTAGTTTTTTGGGGGGCCTTTAAAAGGCAAACAGCCGCAAGCCCAAGGGGCGGTGGTCGAAAAAGAAGGAAGAGCCAAGGCAAGAGGGGAGCTTAGAATAGAAGGCGGGCAATAGAAAAAGAAAATAGCAGCGGAGGGAAAAACAGAGGAACCAGGCGACGGGCTGAGCAGATGGAGGAGACAAGCAACGGGAAAAGAAAACCAGCACAAGGGGGAAAATTGAGGGGGACTTCGTGAGGATTCCTAAAGTTCTTTCGAAAAGAAAGAGCAAGAAGCTCTTCTTCTTCGCTCGTCAGTTTTTCTATTTAGATTTTTTTGATTTCCTGCTGAAATCAACCAGCTTTTGCGTTTGATCATCAGTACTTTCTACGGCAACAAGGAGATTTTCCTTCGATAGTTGATCAGCAATGCCTCCGATGCCTTGGACAAGATCCGCTTCGAGAGCTTGACTGACAAGAGCAAGCTTGATGCCTAACAGGAGCTCTTCATCCGGCTGGTGCCCGATAAGGTCAACAAAACTCTCTCCCTCATCGACAGCGGCGTTGGCATGACCAAAGCAGATTTGGTGAACAATTTGGGGACAATTGCAAGGTCTGGTACAAAGGAGTTTATGGAGGCGTCGCAGGCAGGGGCTGATGTGAGCATGATTGGACAATTTGGTGTTGGATTCTGTTCTGCGTACACCACACTTCACCAGAATTCACCGTCCCGCCTGCAGATTTTCACCGAGCAAAATCACGGTAAGCCATCTCTTTCCCTTTGAATATCAGTTTTTCTTTCTTTGTCGAATGTAAACGCTGGAATCCCGAAACATGTCTCTTGTGAATTTGAAATTGCAATTTTCCTGTTGATTCTCTGTAAAATTTTGATCGCACATGTTTTCTGTGTTTGTTTGGGCTGATGTTTCTTTGGATTTCTGAATAATTTTGGGCCAATTATAGCTGCATTTGAGTAAGGAATTAGTGAAATTTTTAATGTCCCCAACCTGTTCGATGAAATGCCCAACTGTGAGTTCGGCTTGAAGAACGAATGGATTTCTGTTTTTGTATAACATTCGGTCGGTCCAATGTTTGTCCGCACAAAAAAATGAGAATTTTGAGAGATTTCGATATGCTGGTTTTTGCACCTTTTCTGTTTCTTATCCTTGCCCTTGTATGAATTCGAGTTTTTTCTGGAATTGGTGTGCAAGAAAGCATATGCAAGTTGTATTTGTTCTTTGGGGAATGGTCAGAGTTGAATTGTTGTGATGTTGTTTTTGTCCGCAAAGAAAGCTGAAATGGCAGCTGATGTGTTTTGATCCTCAATGGTTTAATGTTCTTGATTTGGTTATGTTAATAAAAAAAAAGGGGGTTGTGATAATCAAAGGGGATTATGTTAATCCGAAACTCAGGCTTTAATTTGGGTTTGTGCATGATGTATACACTGAATAGGCTTTCGATTGCAGAACCCAGAAATTAGCGTCGAAGAAGAGAGCTTCTGCGGAGCCTGAAGCATAAATTTCTGAAAATTGCAATTGAACCATTCATTTTCTGCCCAATTTCATTGTGACCCAAAATCTGGAAAAATTGAACTAATTTTGTCCTTTTAAGTTTAATCCTCTGTTTGCATATTTTATGTGACTTTGTGGATAGATTAATTCTTGATTTTGGGTCATGATTGTGGTTTAATAATTTTATTTGATTTTATCATGTTGGGTTTTAGTGAAATGTGTGATTTGGGTTGAGAGGTTATTTTTTTTACTTGGGTTTAAGGGAGTTGGTTTAGCTTATTTATTTGGGTTTCTGACTTGGGCTTAGGAGGATAAAGTCCAACACTTTTGGTTAGGCTTTAGGGTTGGACTTTGACTAATTTGGTTTTAATTGGTAAAGAGTGGGTTGACCCACTTCATTCCCTTGGACTTCCTATCGGGCCAAGTGGTTTTGGCCCAAAGGAGAGGTCAGAAAATGGCCCAGTGGCCTGATCCATTAAGAAACCAGAAAATGAATTTACAGATCAGTCCTTATACTTTTCATTAATTATACTATGGCCCTAACAACTTCTAACTTCCTTCAATTGAGTCCCTAATTAATTGCAAATAGGTCCCTAAACTTTATTTTTTTAATTTTTGACCTCAAAACTTTGTTAATTTTTGCAATCAAGTCCTTTCTTCATTTGACTTCTTAAATGTGGGTTGTTTATATGATTTAATTGATTCAATTTCACAACTCATTTTTATCTTTTATGATTATTTGTTAATTAAAGTGATGTCTTGACCTTTTCTTTGTATTTTAGAGGGTAAATAAGTGACTTCACTTCATTAGAGCCCCAACTCAAGGGAGGTACACCCTATCCCTTATTTTGACTTATTTGATCCTATGTGCACTTATGTGAAATTATGTGTGAAATTGCATGCTTCTTTTTCTTTTTGAATATTCTCATTATATTTGTTCATTTAGTTACTTTATTTGTTTTAATTTTGTATATTTATTTTAATTTAATTTGTAATTATTTGGGAGGGCAATTAAATGCCACAATTGTAATAGTTAGGTTATTATATCATTTTATTCCTTCCCCCCTCTTTTAGATTGTAGTAGGGTTCCCCGAATGTAATAGTTAGGGCTTTATTTGCTTTATTTGCCTTGTGTGTTTTTGCATACCTATGTGTTATGTGTTACTCGCTTTCTTAGGGTCTTGCATCTAGACATCATGCTTATGTGTTATGTGCTATATGTGATTTATGTGTTTATTTGCGTTATTATGCTTTATCTGATTTCTTAGACTGTAATAAATGCATGTTATCACACTAGTCCAATGCTAGCTGTGATTCCTTTCCCGTCACCACACTAGTCCAACGCTAGTTGTGTTTCCCTTGTCCAATTTCTCATTAGTCCAATGCTAGTGAGAAAGTAGAAATAAGGGTTAGTCCAATGCTAGACCCTTAAGAGCCCTTCGAGCGTTAGATCATGATTGTTTGATAAACTCACTTCATCTCATGCATATTTTACTTTCTTGGGTCTTTTATCACTTTTGCATGACATCTCTCCTTATACGTACATCCCATTTCCCATATTTTCCCTTATATGTGTATTACTTACCCCTTTGTATGAAACATGACATTAGACTTGCATTTCATCTAAGCATTAGAATTAGATTAGATCATTTGCTTGATTAGATAGGAAAAATCCCTTTGATATGGGATATGGACGAGTTTGGCTTCTCTAACCTTAGCACGCTTGTATTCCCTCTATTAAAGGGAACATTGAGTCACGAACATTAGTTCCCCGTACCCGATATGATGTATTCCTTTAGGTCACGTATATTTATGCAATTATTTTTATTTTCCTTTTCTTTTCTTAGAGTCTCATATTGTCGCATTATTCGTGACTTCTCCGAAGAGTCTTTATTGGGCGTCACAATTAATGTGATTGGTACCAAAGAAGCTTTGAAGATATATTTCGACCCTCCGACACCCTCCTAGGTCTAGGGTATGCATTCATATAGTACATCCAAATGTGATCAATCTTAAGGGTAAAATAAGAAAATCTTTGACTAAATCGCGCAACTAGCCTTGGTTAGGTTGAAAGGGTGCCTTGGATTCTTATCCTTGCATTCCCTTTCTTCAAATGTGACTCCCGAATCTTTTTCTCTGATTTTCGTAAACTTGGAGTCGTTTAAAAAGCGTTTTCTACTTTTTTCTTTAAAAATTCATTTTTAGGTGACTTCGTACACCTTAACTCTATACCAAGTGGCGACTTCGATTTTTCATTCAAAAAACCCTTTTTAAACTATATTTTGGGTCAAATCATCGCATTTTCAAGTCCCATTTTGACCCACGTTTTTCATTTTCTTTTTAAATAAAAAAATTCATTTTTTCAATCAAAAATTAAATCAAAAGCCATTTTTCCTAAACTCGTCTTTTATTTTTCTTATTAAAAAAAAGGGGTGCAACAGGCAGGTTGGTGTGTATCATTTTCGATAGACTTCTGGCAAAAGTTCGAGCTCATCTGTTCCACTGGAGCTCTAAACTGCTCAGCGCAAGGGGTAAGTTAATTCTTGTTCGTCATGTTCTCAGTTCAGTCCCTTTGTATTTGTTACAGGTTCGCTCCCCACCAAAGGGGGTGCTGGTGGCTTTAGGTAGAATATGCAATTCCTTTTTATGGGATCAAAATGCTAATGCACGGCGGCTTCACTGGTGTGCTTGGGAGAAGCTATGCTTTCCTCTACAGGAAGGGGGCTTAAGGGTCAGGTCGTTTGCTGAGATGTCGCGAGCCTTTTCATGTAAGCTCTGGTGGAGGCTGTGGGGGCATAACTCCAGTTCGGATGAATTTATGCACACAAAGTACATTCGGAGGGCTCATCCCGCGAGCGTGGTTGTGGAGCGAGCTCCCTTTCCTTGGCGGCGCTTGAACGAGGTCAGGGGTTTTGTTGAGGGTAACACTAGGTGGTGTTTAGGGGAGGGCATGCTAGACTTTTGGCTTGATATTTGGTGTGGCGACCAACCGCTGGCGTCCCGCTTGGGCTTTCTGGATCCACCCTATCTATTAGTTGGTGAGTTTTATTCCCTGGATGGATGGAATGTTCCTCGTTTACGGGAATGGGTACCACAGTCTCTACTTACAGAAATATTGGAAATCCCTTTTGACCCATCCCAGAAAGATAGGAGGGTATGGGGGCTAAGTTCATCAAGTGAATTCTCGGTGTCCTCGGCATGGGAGGCTCTGCGCCAAAAACGGAATATCTCCTTAGTGGATAAATTTATTTGGGACCCAGTCATTCCGGGGAAAATTTCATTCTTTTCATGGCGGCTAGTGTGCAAGTGGGTTCCGATTGACTGTGTTGTACAGCAAAAAGGGGTTGCTCTGGCGTCCTGTTGTGGTTACTGCCTGCAGGCGTCTGAGTCCTTTAATCATGTGTTTCTTACTGGACCAGTTGCGGCAGCTGTCTGGAGGTTTTTTGCCAGGAAATTTGGAATTGCAGGTATTCACTTTCTTAGCATCTCGTCAGTGCTTCTTAGATGGTTTGGTTCTCATTTGCAGGTTGGTCCAGGCCATATTCGAGTTATTCTACCGCTACTTGTCCTCTGGTTCCTCTGGAAGGGTAGGAATGATGCTCGTTTCAATAGGGGCTCGTTTTCAGCCTCCCGAGTCATATTCCAAGTGGAGTAATTTGTTCGCCAGATAGGTATGGTGCAGGTGCTTGATTTTCGTCAATTCGCGCGGGGACCGGGATTGTGGTTGGGCCAGGCTGGCCCAATGTCAACGTCTCTCGGTTCGCTTTCAGGTGGTTCGCTGGCTCAAATCAACGCCGCCTTGTGTGAAGCTCAACACGGATGATTGCGTCGCTGTGGGTGGGGCTGCTAGTGGGGGCTTGGTTCGTGATTCGGAAGGTGATTTAGTCTTCGCATTCTACAAGGAGTTTGGAGAGGTGGATATGTTGACCGCGGAAGCACTTTCTCTGCAGGTTGGGTTAACACATTGCCAAGCGCGTGGCGTGCAACAGTTGACGGTCGAGGTGGATAATAGGAGCTTGGTCCGGTTGGTGTCTTCCGATGTTTTGGCTAAGTGACCTTTAAGCAGGGTAATTCAGAGATATCGTCTTCTGCTTAGGGAAGTGCGGGCAACCGTCCAGTTCATCTATAGGGAGGGCAATTTGCCCGCGGATGCCCTTGTTGCAGCCCGGTTGGGCTGTGACGGGTTGTTCACTAGTTTGGCCAACTTCTCGCCTCAGTTAGAGCTTGTTGTCTTTTGGATAAGTCCTCGCTTCCCCACTTTCATCATAGCTTTGTTCGGGTGTAGTGTGTTTTGTATGCAGACTCGAAAAATTGTACTAAAGTAAATTTAAAAAAAAAACAAAGAAAAAAAGTTCATGAAGCATCAACTTGGAAAACTATGAGAACCCGGAAAATTATATTGTATTTATTTATTTCTTTGAATGCCTTTTTCTTTACTTTAAATTATTGCTTTAATTTCCTAGATATTTTTATAAGGGAATCAAGTTTTTAAATCATATTTCTAATATAAGTTAGTTCATGTGTTGTTCGTAGCACATTATAGACGTGGGACCCGCTAGTGCGGTAAGTGCGATAACTTTTGACGATTAGATGGAGTTTTGCATAAAGGGATATTATTTTACAAGGTACTAGAGATAATTAGAGATTAGCTAGATAGATTAACCTGTGGAAGACAAAGAAGATGAGATCAAACCCTAAAAGAGCCAAGTGTCATGAAACTATTAGGGGTTGGACTTTGACCAAGGTTTCTTAATTTTCCTAAAGACCAATTTTGACCAAAATTTCATTCTTTCCCTGCTTGGCCAAAAATATTGAAAGGAAAAACAAGACAGCAAAGTTCATCTTCAATTCCAACTTCAAGCTTGATTCTCAAGTTTCAACCTTTAGTTTTGCAAACTAGTCCATAAAAGTGGATCTCTAAGGAAGTTTAAGGGTTTTTGTGGAGTGATTTGGGAAGATAAAGGTGTTGGTAGCCTCTTTGCATAAGGTTTAAGGTATTTATGGTAAGAAACTCTCTCTACTTCAAATAATTGTAAATTAGTGGTTTATGGTTGCAATTTTGGTAGTTTTATGCAATATTTCATGGTTGGAAGTGGTGATATGGAAATTTTCAGTTTTATGGTGAATTTTCTGACCATATATGATGCTTAAGTGTTGGCCATGGTTTGGTAGCTTTTCTATGTGAAATATCTAGCTTTTACATGCTAGTTTAACTTGCCTAAAGAAAATTTCAGCTTCTGAGTAGGAATTTCAGCTTAAGGTTTCATTTGTTAGCTTAAGTAGGTGATGGTTATATGTTTGCTTTGGTGCGTTGTTGGCTTGATATGTATATGCTTGAGTTGAGGCTGTTTTGTGGTAAGAATGAAGCCTTGAATTGGCTGGAAAAACTTAGTAAAAACAAAGGAGGTGTTGCGGAAAATTTGTCCGCAGGAACCCTTGGACAGCCTTAGGAAATCTGCTATATCTTGTTGTAGGAAATCTGCTTAAGTGTTGACCATATATGTAATGCGTTTGAAACTAGAGTCAGAGTACTATCAACTGTAAAAATTTTAGCCTTTTTCTCAATTCCCATGAATATCTGTGATTTTTCAAATTGACTGAAATTGCATACCTGTTCTGTCTTTTACTGGATGAAGCAGCAACTTGAGGCTTGAATTTGACTAACTTATGAACTGAATCTTATAAATATGTCTTCTAAGAACTTGTAGCCCTTTGAATCTATTTTCCGACAATATAAAGTTTATCAATTTTGAACTTAACAATCTTGAGATATGATTTTCCAAATAGTGTTGCGCAAAACTGAAAAATTTTGTTTTCATAGAATCGTTCTTACTTTCATTTCCCACTTTAAGTTTGGAGTTGGTAAATCATTTTGAGTATGGTTTATGAGTGGAATGGAGATTTAAGTAAAAGGAAATGAAGTCTTAGAAATCTGAATTTCTTTATGTATTTTGATTTTGTGTTGCTAGCCTTTTATATACTATATGGCCACAGAACTCGAGTGAGTTCAAGAGGACGAATCAAGGATAAAGTGAAGTGTTGCCATTGATTGGTGAGTATGCCACTTGCATGACTTGTTGCTTAATTAGTTTACTTGTACCTGCAATCTGTGACTTGAATGACTGTGACCTCTGTTTATTCTGGATGAGATGAGGGTGTACTTTATTACACTCACTCTCTCACTTGTTTGACTGGTTCCTGTATACATCTGAATCTATAACTTGTGCATGATCTGATGTCGTTTGGAGGCTTGTATCCAACGACCTTGCGGTGATTTCTAAGCTCAAACCCTGTGGCTAGTTACTCGAGTCGAGCCGGCAAGGGCCTGGTCGATGAGATAACGAACCCTGGGCCTTCTGTTTTGTCGAGTGGAGTGTTATCTCCTCGACTAATCGGTATACTCGAGTATTACCACCTCTGTTTCTGTTGAAGTGTTTGGGCCAAGCAAGGGATATGTTTGGTGGATGGACACTAGTGTAAAGTGGGGTGTACTGTCTTGGTCGTTTCTTTAAACGTTGACGGAGGGTCAACGGGGTTGGATCAAGTAATGTAAAAGAGGAAATTGGCACTTGAGAGCCATCTGTATCCTTTTACTTCTGGTTTAACTGTGATGTTCCTCCCTCTTTATTTGATATCTATATTTGATTGATTACATGTGTACTTTCGTGATATTTGACTGCTTGACCCGTTGGTGCTTCATTGGGTGAAAGTTCATTCCCGTTACCTTTGTTTTCCTTACAGGGGACAAAATAATGGAACCATGATTTTTGGAGAAAGAGTAGAGCTAGATGTAGATATTCTTCTATTCAAACTCCTCTGTAATAGTAAACCCTCATTGTATGTTGAGCAAGTATAATATTTTGGCTTGTAAAGACTCCAATGTATATATTTATGCAAGCGTATGGCTAAGTATAATAGTTAGGAATGCATGTTTCTATGGTTATGTGAACTTTCTTGTATTCGCTGGAATGATTGGCCGAGTGCGGAACTTGAACAAGGAAAGAAAAGGAATCTGGCGGGAACTACTGCAGGGAATCTGACCGTATATCCGGCCAAATCTTGGCCGGATACTTAGCTGGATTGTTAGGGGAAGATGAGAATTTTCGTTTTGGTCACTACCTTGAATCCAGCCAGCTATCCGGCCGGCAATCTGGCCAAATCTTAGCCAGATTCTGACGTGGCATCAGTTCTTATCGCTTTTCATTGAAACGTTTAATCAAAGTTTATTGCATTGTATGATTTGGTAATCGTGTTTTCGACTCGGCAGTCCTGACGAGAGATGGGCAGGCAGTTTGCTAATCCTTAGGGTACGCCCTAGGGGAAGGTGGGGCTGTCACAAAAACTTTCAAGATTCACTTATCTTAAACATAAGACAAAGAAAGAAGGAAAAATTAGCATTTTGTTACCTCTTTTGCCTCCGAAACAAGATGAAAACTAACCAAATTTTCTACCCTTACAAGCTCATGCTAAGATTGATGGCCACTTCAAGATGTCTCCTTCCTTTCCCCCACAAAACTAAGTAAGATGGAAGCTAGTTTGGATGAAGTTTTCTTCCCCTTTTCCTCCTCAATTTCAGCCCCACCTCTCTCTCTCTCCCTTGTGTGTTTTTGTTTTCTATTTTGCAAGACAACAAATGAAAATTATAAGGTCAACTTAACCCTTGAAGTGTTTAACTAATAACTCTTGGTTCCAATGATGGCACTTGCCAAGTTTTCCCTTAATGTCTATCTTCATTTAGCTTAATTTTCTCCAATTGCACTAAACTCCTTTTCTCCCACTAAATTCCTCACACATTCCACTAAAAATCGCTACAACCTCGCTAATACTGTGAAACTTAACATGTACCAAAGTATAAAAAATAAACTCTTGACACAATCATTAAGTATTCAAGAAATTAGGGCAAGTGAATGAAACCAAAAGAAAGTATAAATTAACTTATTCCGAAATAAAGGAAACTATAAGAAAAATATAAAAACAAAATTTTCGCATCCTTACACTCTCTCCCCCTTAAAAGAATTTCGTCTTCGAAATTCTAACCTTTGCTCACAAAACTCGATTCTACACGATTTCCTCTACTTCTCAAGAGCTTCCCCTCACTCATGCCGCTATCACAAACTTGCCTAGAGGGAAAATCTTAATAATGTAATGGATAAATTAACATACTAAGAAAGATCAATGAAGGTATCAAAAAGGTAAAAGGTGACATAAACTTCAAATTCGATGAAAAGAAGATACTAAACTTGGTTACTACTCTTCCAAGTTATTAAACTCATACAATGGACGTTGACAAATCATTCACAACGTAAGGCCCTTCTCATCTTTACAATTGTACCACTAGATCCGAATCACTCTCTCTAATCAAAATTTCTTTCTTTTGAACCACAAATGAAGAATTCTTGCTTAAATCCAAGACTAAATTATGATAATTGATTCATGGATAAGGATTCAACGCTGCCCAACCACAGATATTTAATATCACTAATTAAAACATCAGGTACCAAGTTCACTATTTCTAACAGAGATACAACTTACTACATAAAGCTTTCACTACACATAGTCCAATAAATACAACTATTTCAGGCAAAACATCACTAATTGCTAATTTTGACTATTACAGTGGTTTCACCATCACGAAATTTGCTTGTCTTGGATAGTTCCTCACTTGATGTCCAAGTTGGCTGCATCTAAAACATGCACCAATTTTTAAATAATATAATCCAGTATGAATTTTATTACAGATTTCACACTTAGCAGCTACGCATCTCTTCGCGAAGTGTCCATTCTGTCTTTTCTTCCTCTCTTTATCCTTCATAACAAGTTCATCTTCACTAATCTCTTTACGTTTCCTTTTAGTATCGTGAAAACTTCCTTCACCCCTTTTAACTTGATTGTTAGAAATGTCTTGAGATGTTACCAGACTAGGCAAATACACCAATTCAAACTTATTCCGTACCTGCTCCAAGATTCCTTCATATTTCTTTTTCAGTTTTATATTCTCGTGCAGCAACTCAATTTTCTCCAAATATTCTTGTTTGTATCGTCCTTCCTAGTGCTCAGCTAATTTCTTTTGAAACTCTACTTCTTTTCGAAGAATCTTTATTTCCTTTTGCATATCAACCAAATTTGTCATCTTATCGATTCACTTAAATTCATGTGATAGTCTGCTAGCAAATCAAAGGATTG